CTATTAATTCTTTACTGCCCATGGAAAGACAAAAATTGTCACAGAGATGAAATACCTTTGCGAACAATAAACTCCATCAGTTAAAATAAAAATATTTATCAGGAAGAACTTAAAAATAAAATTTATTCTCACCATTTTTGCAATTTTCTAAAATAATCTCATCATTCTATTAATGCTTTACTACCCAAGGGAAGATAAAAATTGTCACAGAGATGAAATACCTTTGCGAACAATAAACTCCATCAGTTATAACAAAAATATTTATCAGGAAGAACTTAAAAATAAAATTTATTCTCACCATTTTTGCAATTTTTTAAAATAATCTCATCATTTTATTTTCCTATTTTTCCCCTTAATATTTTTCCAGGAATGCATAACCTTAGCTGTCCATGCTGTAATATATTTTAATCTTTACGTCGCGTGTAATGCAATTCAAGGTGGAAAATTTAAAGCTTCGTATTTAACAGCTTACTGGAGTCTCTTAAGCTGCAGTGTGAAAGGATTTAAAGTTACAGTGGTACTCATTTCCTTAATATCTCCTACATTATCCCATTTAAAAAAGTAGAAATGGCCGCGAGTCTTGTACCGTATATTATTGTATATACCTCTCTCCATTCGAATCCTAAATGATAGAAATCTTGTACAACGCTATTCGATACATCAAATAGCATTCGTACGTGAGATATTCTACGAAATCGTTGCTCCAAATGCGTGCGTTGAAACGTATCGGAAATTCAGACGAGGTAATTCGATTTCTTACGTTTGCTGGGAACGTATTTCACCAGGTTTCAGGCTCTGTCGCCACGTTTCGCAGGCCGAGGTTAATAATTGAAGTCTGCAATTGGATAGATTCAATTGTTCAGAACGTTCAATTGCACGCTTGAAATTTCGCCACTGTTTACAGTTGCCGCGCTGGAGGCGGAAGTAGCACAGGGTGCGCGCGCAGGCGAGCACCAGTGCTGGCGCGCGATATTTATCGATGACGAAGTAGAGCGGAAAAACGAAGAAAGACGTAGAAAATTTGTTGTTTGCCGTTCTCTCTACGGTCTCGCATCGCTGGATGAAATGTTGCCGCCTCCGCTTTCTCGACCTTTCCACCCTTTGTCTTCCTCCTCATCGTATTTCAACGGAGCTATCGCTCCAAGGCCCGCGTCTTGCGTTGCGAGTATGCAAGGAACGGCTCGAGCGCTACGTGCTTATTTATGGACGTCGTATCATATTCTTTGACGCGTTTCGCGGATCGATCGACGCGCCGCACGGCGGCGTGGAAATAAACGAGTAACTGCATCCGTTCGTGAATGGTCTAACGAGCAAAACGGAATCTCGTTCGACCGTCGAAGTGAAACCGTTTTACGCCTATCGTTCGTAACCTCGCGGCTTTAACGCGCTTAAATTGTCCCGAGAATGAGGCCGTTTTTTCAGGCAAGCTTCGATAACGTCGATGCGAGATACGCAAGTTCAAGTGCGAGGGAAATTTAATTGATAGTAAATAGTAGTTTAACGACTGGTAACATTGCGTCATACGCGTCGGTAACTAAGGTCAGGTTAGATTACTTCATTTTTCAACGTTCAGTTTTATCTTGTATCGCGTTACTTGGGAAACTTAGGTTAGGTTGGTGAATTTTTCAACATTCAGTTTTATTTCGCGTTGTATATTTGAAATGGCGGGAAGTATGAATATACAGGGTAGTCCACGCAACTTGTACACCTCTATAATTTTCAGAATATGCGGTGCAGGAAAATGTTTTGTATATAAAAATTGCATGGCTTGAAGCGGTACATTGTGCAGTGTATTTATTTCTTTTATAGGTTATAGCGTTTCAGAAATTTGAAAGTTAGCTTGGTTTTTTTAAATGGAATACTGTATTTTTTGTAGCAGAATATGGAAGAACGTCGAATTTTGAGTAAAAGAATATTAAGTTTTGCATTATACTTAATGACTAACGGGTAATTTCGCTTTATTTCTTGAAAATTTTATTCTTTTCTTGAAAACTTAGAAGTAGAAATATATTGTAATTAAAATTAAATCTCTGACTTAATGTTACGTGAAGAAAGTATATATATATTATATTAAACATTGAATATGTATTAAATACATAAAAGATAAAATTGAATATCACGCAATTAATACTAGAAATGTTAACTTGAAATGTAGTATACATAAATGTGCCAAGGATTCTAAAAGTGGCCTAAGTCAAATATGTTTCGTTTTGAAATATTAAAAATTATAACTATATTATAAATTATAAATTAACAAAATTAATTATAATAAAGCTACAAATTTGATCTATTCTTTACTCCAATTCTTTACTATTTTGCCAAAAATATTTTTATTTTATTGTAATGTAAATGAATGCAACTCAGAATAAGTAATAAAATCGTTTCTTTTGAATTTTCTATTTACACCATTTTCATAATCACTGTCACAAATATGGTACTAATTATAGCAATATACTGAAAGCAGATAAATAAGTACACATAAGTACGTTCTTACCTCATTAAGTCAGTATTAATTTTTCCAAAATCAGTTGTTTCCTTTCACTATTTGCCATAAAACAAAATTTCCCTCACAAAAATGTCATTATATTATCGTGCGACCTAATGCAAATTGTTATTTTCAGTTGAAAATTAAAAATGGCATTAATGACCGAAGATGATAACTGAACTGTGACAAATTCTCTGTCGACTCACGATTCTCTAACGACCCCCAATACACTTTTTCTCTTTTTGACAATTCTCAGGGCTCTTTATATTCACCGGAGACCATCCTTCGCCCACCTCACTCCCACCATTCGTCTACATTATTTATCTAACGCTCTATGCGCAGCATCCTCGAAGCTGAAGCATGGTCAACCCAAGGGTAAGTCTTCCTTGTCACCGAAGGTTTTCCCAATGGATGTAGCCTCATCCTCGTACTTCCTCCTTTATGACCTCCGTAAAATTACGATACTGCAAAACGATAGTTAAACTTAGATTGCAAAAACGTTCAGAGTGGTATTTATCCAGGAGACAAAGTTGGTCATTTAAAACGTTCACATAATTGAAATTTCGCAAATTCGTCGCATAAATGGCGTTGTAAAACATTGAAACGTAACGATAAAACAATTTTTCGTCGTCGTTATAGTTATTCGAGGTTACGTGATATTTTCTATTCTATTTCCTTCTATTTTCAACGTTCGTTCGATGATCGGAAAATCTTCCTTTCGAAACGATGATTTCGCAAGTTGTATGTCAGTTACGGTGTCTCGCGAAATATTTACCAGTTTGCTAAAAGGGAAAAAGGAATTTAATTTTTAAACGTGACTGGTTATTCCGCTAGGCTTTTCAATTACTGTCGTAGAAAGGGGCCGAACCGTAAAAGTTTTAAGTACTTTTTCTACGAGCCACGCTAAAGCTGCATTCATAAGGCGCAGGAACTCTGAAGTGCAGGAAGGAAGCCGTTGGTACGAGTAGAAGAGGACGAGCCGGGAAGGGAAGTGAAATGCTCCACGAATTTTCTCGCAATCGTGAAAGTTTCCTGGACGCTGGGCTTTAATTAATTTAATTGACAGAATAGTCAGTGTGTTTACTGGGAAACATCAGTCACGGGAAACAACCTCGGTTTCGACTACACGCGTGGCCTTGACTGTGTGTGCCTTGTCTATGATTGAAGACTCGTAATGAAACAAATAATTAGTATAACTTCTGGATGCATACTTCAACTGTGCATCTGCCTTCCATATTCGTCAGAGTTCATTAGCGTATATGTGTGCTTGGAAATAATTGACAGAGTACGTATATGTGATATGTTTTTTTAAACTAACTGTTAGAAATAATTAATAATAAACTATGGTAAATAAATTGCTTTATATTTGGTAAAGGTACATTATCTTGGGAATATGTTCGATTTTAATAATTAAAGAAAAGAATTACGTTAAATAAAAGGATGTTTCTATTGTTTATATTATTATTATTGTTACTAATATTATTTGGTATACAGTTATGTAGGTATGGATATATTAGGTTACTTAATATGAGTAGTAGTTAATTTTTCGACAAATATCCATTTGGTATATTTATTGTTGCTCATAATTATTTTAACGACTTTAAAAGTTTATTGATATGCTTGAACAACTTGCATTTAAGGCACGTACAACTGCAATCAATAATAAAGAACATTTTCCATATTTCTATTAAAGCTACTTCTAATAGTTTTATATTAATATTTATATATAAATATATAAATTTTTATATCACCATATTTTATATTTACATTTTGCATTTTGATTTAATAATAAAGAACAATTTCTGCAACAATGCAACAATGAGAACAGCATTAACAAAATTATTTGTACAATATTTTGTATATATTTATGAAATGTTACTTAAATATATTTTTAAATGCATTCCAATGATAATCGTATTCTATAACGATCGTTTAAGCGTTACACTCGTTGAAAACCTAAATATCGTTGAGTTAAATCACGTTGCAGAGTATAGGTTATCGATCATCACAATACACGTATTTAATGTCACGACGAGTTTAAATCCAGCACGTCATGCTACAAGCCTCTTCGTCGGATCAAAGTCGTCGCTTGGTTCGATTAGCAAAACTACGAAGATAATCCGACGTTGAAAACGCGGCATTGTGACAGTTTCCGTCAGATGGCGGCCGTATCTCTCTCGTAATACCCTTTCGGAATTCCCTAACGTTCCTGTTGCATCGTTCACGAGACCTCTCTGCGCCTCGACCCTTCAAGTCTCGCGTACGTCGCGATCGAAGCGCCATCCGTGTCACGCGTTTTTCAGATTACATTAGCGAACGTGTCTTTCGGCCGTGTGTACGTTAAACTCGATGAAAACACGCGATGGACGAGATAAAGTGTACCGCTTTAAGCAGGGATAATCGTATGGGCACGCGATACTTATCGAGATCGAAATCCTTGCTTTTTTCGACTGTCTTCGTTGAAGTTTAAGGCTCGGATAAACATTTGCGCGGACATGTTGCGATGTAATTTCGAGGTTAGTGGTACAGTGGCTACATTGGAGGACGAAATGTATGACTTTGAAGGTATAATAATTAAGTTTTATCATCGTGATTAAGAAATTATGGATATATGTAGGCAAATGTAAATTGTATGAAATATTTTTCTCTTACACACTGACTTATCGAATAATAATAGTTGTAAATTTATAGGTTAGGGTTTTTATAATCTTAAAACGTAATAGGATACTTGTTGAAAAGATAAGTTTAGTTATAGAGGAAAATCAATCTAGGATATAAGGTGTAAATTAATAGTTTATAAGACCCAAATTCTGAAAACGAATGTTTATATAAATATTGAATAAAAATTAGGGATTTATGCGAA